TATATATATAAATTATATAATTAAAAATTGCTGATAATTCGCACCTTAAAAACATCATGGTCGTCATGTCTCCTAAGCTTGAGGTTTGACATTGTCATCACACTACATCTGACGTTATTTAGAACAATGGTTTGATTTTGATGACTATATGGAGACACATTTTGTCAACTTGGATATGTTGTCGGTTTATGTTTTGCAAGTTAACTTTGACATAGGTTGGTTTATACTTTTCGTTTCAATCTCAACAAAGAGGGGTGGGTGGGTGGTCGTTGAGTGGCATAGTCGAAAAGGGGAGAGGTTGTTTCATTCTAAATATGTGAAAATCCGACCTCATTTGTTGTATTTTTTCAAATTACTTTGGTTTTTTTGTCATATTTTTTGGTTAGTTTTTACATTACTTAGAAATTGCCGGAATAGTTGAATCAATGGTCTCACTGACAAATATAAAATAATATATTTTACTATAAGAAAACAAAAACAAAGGTAAAATGGTTATTTTACTATAACTAAACGCCTTAAATCTAACAGTGTTAGACTCAAGGACTATTGGTAAAGAAATTAAATTTTAAAGCTGCGAACTTATGTATACCACAAGGACTATTTATCTAATTTCGTCTAATATTAATCCCATATATAAATCATTGGTTTAAAAAGTCAATAAATTCGTCTTTACTTTCTTGTATAAATGCATTTATTACACCAAGTATTAATTAGAAAATAACAAATCGAATATTATGGTTGGAAAAAGTCAAATTTCGTCATTTTTCTTCTATATATGCCATTCTTTTTTTTTTCTTCTCCACAAATATGTGTAGAAATTGAGACTTGAGAGCCTTCTTTTAATCTACCTTTTCTCTATCACATTTTCTAGATTTTGCCACTGATTAATGAGAATTGACCCCTTGAGGATCCTTCATGGCGAAATTTAACACCTTTTCACTCTTCTTACTTTCTCTTGTCTTGTTCATGACTATGGCTTCCATGGTACCTCCATCGTTCTCAAGAACCCTAATTACATCTTCTACTACAATGGATTTTGATCATTCCAAAAGAGCCCATGATCTGAGTTTATCGACATCTACAACATATTCAAGACCTAGGAAGGAATTCGAAGCTAGTGCTCATGAGGTTCCAAGTGGCCCAAATCCTATTTCCAATAAGTGATGGTTGGTTTGTTGAATAATCCAGAAAACGGGCAATGGCATATGATGATCTCTAGCTAGTAGTTTATTTTTGTGTTGAAAAGATATTAAATCAATTTTCATGTTCATATTAAAATAATATATTTTTGATAATTATTCATAGTTTGTTTTCTTTGTTTTAGATGTCATTGCTCGTATAAAACTTTAAGAGTACTAAATTATAAATTTCTTCCATATGATGTCAAAAGTTATAAAATTAGTCTAGATATTTCATGTGCCGTTTCTAATGCTTACTTTTGTTGCAAGGTTCTTCCTCAAAATGTTAAAAATGTATTTTAAGAGTTTATAGGAAAATTACGATTTTACCCTCATACTCATGTACTCCATCCTCTTCGTCTTCTTCAATGAAATGGAAACCCCTGAAACATCTTCAAGATTGTATTTAATCTTAGATATTAAATTTAAAACAAAAGAAAAATAACAACTAAAATACAAATCAAAACCCAAAAAGATTAACCAATAATTAAAATCTTTCTCAATGATCTTATTTTTATGACCCTCTTTTAAAAATTGCACACACGCCCTAAAATATTTATAAATAAATAAATAAAAATTCATCATCGAATAAAGAAAAAACATTAAAATGGATTTCCTCATCGGACCAAAATCTCTCCCTCCCTCTCTCTCTCTATGTATCTCTCTTTTGTTAGTGTATCCCACATCGGTGCGACCCGGTCCAATAAATATCTATAAACATTGGAGTCTCCTTTCTCTCCACATATGTCTTTTTTGGAGAAACAATTTTGGGCTCCACATATATTTACATGGTAGCATATTCGCATCTTGCACCCCTGTTGTTCAACACATCTCACATCGGTGCGATACAGTCCAATAAGTCTATATATGTTGGAGTCTCTCAGCTCGCTCTCTCTCTCTCTCTCTCTCTCTCTCTCTCTCTCTTTCTCTCTCTCTCTCTCTCTCTCTCTCTCTCT